GCTTTTTCAAAGACATTCAAGATTAATAGAGTGAAATTATCCCTGTGAGTGGGGCTCAAGAAAACCAGGCTCCCTCGTGCCCACGCTGGTGCCAGCACAGTGTGGGGCTCCTACCAGCTCTTGACAGATAGCATGCTTATTATATGAATGACAGTACCAATGACTGCTTTAAACTGAGGCTTTAAAAATTTAAACTCCTCAGTTGTTCTGTGCTGTAGCCACTGCGCACCCTTGGTCCTACGCTACCGAGAAACGTTGTGCTCAGTAACAGAGGGGAAAAGGCTTTTGATGATGCCTCTTTGCAGGTTTTTGGATGAGATGTGCCCAGCGTTAGGGCTGGAGGACCCGTCTCACAGCCCGCAGCGCTGAGGGCATAGCTCACATCCCCATTCCTCTGCCCACCGTTGAGATTTGCTTCTAATACTGAGTGGTTCCCAGCTCGGTTTGCTGTGGGTAACCAGGCCATAACCCTGCTTTCTGCTCCTTCATCATCTCACAGTATTTAAACCAGCTCTGAAAGGGGTACAAAATAGCACTCTCACTTCTAGAACCTTTCTGTTTTATCACCCCAGCCAGCAGCCCCTGCTGACACCAAGTCTCCCAAATCAAGAGGCAGGGAGCTTCACGTGACACGGCAGCATCAGTCCTCCCGCTGATCTCCAACCCTTTCAACTTCCCTGCCCGCTGCGTGCGGAGGGAAGCAGCTGCTTTATCCCTCCTGTCCAGCTCCCTTTCAAAGACAAAATCTGTCTCCTTACACAAAGATAAAGCAGCAGAAACCCAAGAGAAAGAGCAAAGGCAGGAGCAGCTAACTGGAAGAGACGGCTCTCGTGCGGGTATGTCCTGCTACCTTGCTCCTGAGCTGCTCGTTTTCCTCCTTGCAGGCTGAGAACTGCTTCTTCCAGTGCTCGATGCTGGCCGCGGACTCCTGCAGCGCCGTGGTCAGCCTGGCGTTGCTCTCCCGCAGCGTCTGCAGCTCCGTCTCCCACTTCTTCACGTTGGATGAGCTGAGAAAACCAGGGTGCCATTAGGTGGCTTGACCTTACAATCCTGCCTGTCGTTAACTCTTCACCTGACTGCAAACTCATCCACCCGTGGCGCGTTTACCAATACCTGTTGTTATAAGATCAAGCGCACTCAGATGTATGTACTTGCCTTTAGTCACTGCCTGCCTAAGGACACCAGAAGCCTTAATTTGACAGCCTCTGCCAAAACAAAGTGATCCATCAACTCCAGCAACAGCGATCTGTGCTTCTGGAACAAAAGTTCTGCTGTCAACACAGGCTGTAGGGTCAAGCTGGCAACTGAGATCTCCACCATTTGCAAACAGGGGTGTTAATCTACACATTTGCAGACAGTATAATAATTCAGAACAGAAGATGGCTATCTTCTACTACCTATATTTAATTTTTTTTAATACTCTATATGTTACCTATATATATATTTTTTTTTTAATGCTCAGCCTTAGAAGTGTTACATAATGATGAAAAATTAAACTACTCATTCCTCAAAGCTTCAAGCTGCAGTGTAAAGCATAAGATTAGAGAGTGAATGGAAGGAAGGCTTTGGAGGCCCCACATGCTAGTTGCTACTTGCCTGTGGAGGTGTCTTCAGCAGGGGGAACGAGCAAACGTTATGATTTGAAATAGGTTACGCTATTGAAATGTCAAAAAACAGAGATGACGTACTGCACATATAATACATGCAAACTTAGAATTGCTCACTGAGTAACAATGCTTACAGTGCTGCTGCCTTATCCTGTTAGATTTTCCTTCCATTCACAGACATACTCACACGCAAGAGGCAGACAAGGCAAGATCCCAGTAGAGAATTATCCTATTTTAATGTCGTAACTGCATATTCCAATGCCTGTATTTTCACTACGGCTGCAAATTACTTTTCTCAGCATTTTCAAATAATTTATTAAAGCAAATAGCAAAAAATGTGACTTCAAGAGGCATTGTCCACAGCTTTAGAAACATCCCCCTAAGACTTCTCAGCAGCCTGGTGAAATTATAATTCTCACTTCAACTTTTTACGGTTGAGTTCATTCCCTTTTATAATTTTAAATATCCATATCTATTTTCATCAAAGTAAATGTAGCAAACTCAAAGAGGAAGAAGAGATTGGCTCCACGTGTTATCAGTAGCAATTGCTCCCCCATGGCTTTGAGGTTATTTCTGTAGCTCTAAAACTTAAAAAATGAAAGGGGCTATAGGAGTTGGCTTCAGCAGAGTAGAAAAGTTCTTATTTCAACATGAACTAGATTAGGAAAAAAATAAATGGTAAACATCTCTCAACTGGATACCAGGAGGTACTTGCTAAAATCTGCTTGTTCATCCATTCTACTGCATAATTTGAAATTAATGCAATTACATTTAAATAATTTCTGTCAATATCATTAGCCACCAGATAATTACAGCACGCTATTCCAATCCAATTTAGGTACTAAAAGAACTTCACCTTTGGGCTAGAGCAATTTTTAATTTATCATTCTCAGACTTGAGATGTGCCTCAGCAGGACCACCGTGGGATGCTTTCTCATCGTCTGTCCCGTTCACACTAGATGCTCGAGTGGAAGATGGTGTTTCACGTCCAGATTCCTGCAGCACAACACACAAATGAACGCTGGGCATCTCCAGCATCTCCTGCAACACCACTACATCAATTTCTTTGTAATTTTGATCTCACACTACCCTGCTGAGACCTAGGCTGCATATGCTTGACTGGCAAAACAGTGGTAACAAACACATACCCTTTACATCCTGGGTGCAAAGCTGGTCTGTTTAAAAAGAATAAAAAAATGATAATGATACACAAAATGGAAGTTTAAACTGTTAAAAAAAAATTAAGTGTTTTTAACTGACAAGGCTTGTGTTTTCTAAAGGTTGGTTGTTTTTTTTTTTAAGATAATGAAACAATACAGTGCACCTGGAAGCACACAAAGTCCAAACCAAAAATAAAAAAAAGATACTGCTCCTCCAAAGAGACACCATTCAAACGCTGCTTGGTGCTGATCACCAACAGAGAACAAAGTGAGCCATAAAGGTCATGACCAAAATCTTTAAAAAATGAGTATGCAAAGTCAGCCTCTCAGATCATATTTGTGGACCCCACAAAGGGGTTAGTTGCAAGACAAAGAGCATTCAGCAACTTTTTTCTGATCATGCATCTGAATGTCACTCTCATCAAAATTTATGTAACTTTCCTCCAAACATTAGCCCATGCCAAGAACACCTGCTGAATGGGGTTCATTCTCACCTAATGCAATGCACATGAAATGACAGTCAAACATAGAGAGAGACAGACAACACTCCATTTCCTCAATCTATAAGAGACCCAGATCTCCCTGGACCTTCCCACATCACAGCTTCCCCTCAGTCGCACCCAGGCAAGGAAACACTGTGGCCACAAAGTCAGTCTCTCCACTGGAAAACTGGATTCCTACAGGTAGAAGTGATTAGGCAGATGACAAAGAGAAGCATCTTGATGAATCACATTTACTGTTTACTGAAGCACTACACTAACTTTCCAGCGACTCAAACTAATGTGTAACAGTACAAATCAAAAGATATACAGCTTTCCCTATGATTAAAAAAGTTATAACAGCTCAAGAACTGCTGAAAAAAAATTGGATATAAATGAAGGCAAAGAGGAGATGGATGAAAAATATTCCTCTGACAATGTTAATGTCCAGCAGCTAACAATTACCTTTGGCAATTTTAATTTTATATAGTTTAAGATTGCTGCCAGAAGCTGGTACAGTCCATTAGAAAATTTAACTTTGAATTATTTATCCTGTATGCACACAGGTATTAAAGCTAAATTACAAACCTGGGAATGATTGCTTGAGGTCTCAATTTTCTCTTGAGATCTGTCTCTTGCTAGTTTGGCAGCTTCTTTTACTTCTTGGAATTTCTCTGCAAACTGGAAAAAGCATAAGGATATTTATTAAAATAATTTATCATCTATTAAACTGTCCAGATTTCTATATTTATATGGTTTATAGATCTCCAAAAGTGAACAACTAATTTTGGTAATTTATAATTTTTGTCAAGAGAAAACATTTTAATTCTTTGGCAGGGAGGTTCTTTCAAAAGGAACAGGGGTGTTTTTAGAAGAGGGACACCTCTGTAGCTCTGGCTGATCACAGTAAAAACCCATGGAGATAAAGGAGCTATTAGTGTCTTCTGGTTTGATTTGGTTTTGCTTATTTTTCTGTTTCACTAGATGCTGACAGTCTATTAAGGTTGAAAGTATAAAAGGCATATGTTTGGATAAAAAAAATATCAATGTCTCCTATCCCTAAGAGCAAGTCAATTGAATTAAAAGAATGCAAATGAGCTCATGCAAAATCTGCAGGATGTGAGCAAGGGATTATCATGACATAGAAAAAAGGAGAAAAAGGTAGATCTGAATGTACAAAGGGGCCATATGAAAACACAGCTTTTATTGTCTAATTTTCTTATTACTGGCAAACGTAAAGGTAGAAGATTTCAGGGAAAGCCTTGAATGCTTCTAGTAAGAGGGTTATATCAAACTGGGGGAGGCAGGGGAAAGGAAAGATAAAGATGAAAAGCAATGATCTCAACCTCTACAAGTTGCTGAAGGACATCTGCTCCAAAGCCAGCCTGGCACTTCTGAAATACAAGTATTATCAGAGCCAGTCAGGGTTGCAGGGCTTTAAACACTTTAAACAGTGTTTAAAGTTTTAAAAGGAGGATTGCAAAGATGAAAGAAAAGGCATTAAAAAAAAAATCATTAAGATGTATCCTGTATAAGAACAGGTAACTTTGTCATCCTGCTAAAGCAGCTTGGTCTTGCTTGCCTGTGTTTTGAGAAACTTGGAACCGTAGAGAGGAAGGACACATTAAAAGTGCACATAAATAAATCTATTTCGTTGCACAGTTTGTGAATAAAAGGACTGTCATTACATCCTCAGATAATTCAGAACATGTGACAAAATTGTAAATAAAAGCATGAACATATATCACATTTTATAGTCAAGGAATGGGAAGAATCATTATCCACTTACTAATCTTATCTTCTAACTTTTAGATTTAGTAGGTATTTAGCATGCTCTCTCTCAGTAAAATACTGGGACTATAAAGATTGATAAAGCAAATCATCTCCAACTTGTCTAAGAAAAAAAAGGGCTTTATATGTGGAGGTACCTTTCTTTTGTATAACACACACAAATGGAGATTTGCAACAAACACAGGTACATCATCCTCAAATCCACGGATAAGCATATTCTCAAAGCCAAGTGAAATCTAGAGTGTAGACTACAACCTGTGACGATGTTTATGAATGAAGATTGAGCTCTCAAATCCAGCTGTTTTCTATACAACAGCTAAATGCATAGGCCAAGTACGAGCTCTCGGATGGCAGTAGTCGCTATCTGATGGCATGTGCAGTCACTACACACACAAATGACTTGATTACCATTGTAGCACTATAAAGATCATTAGGAGCAACTACATTACATTTTTGCCTTACGTGATTTGACTCCAACTTTACAAAAAATTTATCTCCTGCTGCGACAAAACAGCTATAACAAACTAATTATTTACAAAATATTGTATTAACAGTAAGCTCTACACTTGAGTTTCTTGCAAATAGTAAAGGGTTGTTTTGAGTTTCTCTTTTACAATAAATCTTTATGGGCAAGTATGAAAAATTTATGAGGGTTCTTCATGGACCGTATGAAATATGAAAAGACAAAAAGAATTGGAAGCGATCTATCAAATTTTATTTTTGCAACTATCTTCATAAAGCATACAGAAGACTGCTGTGAAAAATTATGTGAGCTGAAAAGAAAATGACATTTTTCCACATTTCCATAACAAAAATTGTATACGACTGAGCAAAGCTAGCTAATCTTCAATATAAAACTGATAAGGATCTCATCGCACAATAGATTTCAGTCATGTCTCTCGTTTACCAATGCATGTATTTAACACATTTGCTTTTAGAAATAAGCACAAATAACTGAATTTTTCACCATCTTAGTGACAGATCTTCAGCTTTAAGAGTCAAAATATTACTCTTCATTCGTATCGTTATTACAAATTTAAAGACAGCTGTAACAGAAACGGTGGTGAAAGACTGTCTCTGAGTTTTGTTTACCCCACACATTTGGAAACAGTCAGTCCACAAAGAGTTCTGCTGACACTTCTTTTTCATTCTTAGCTAATTAATACCTGCTACATTTTACTAAAAGTCTATTTTTGAAAGCTACAGAGGATCACTTGGCTTGTTATGAAATTAAAGCCTTTCACTTGATTACTCTTCTGAGTGCAGCAACATGGTGGTGACAGCCTAAGCTTGTGCAGCATTACCAATGCTAATTGCTACAGCCGCAGACCAGGCGTATCTGAAGCTACCCAGATCCTGAGGCCAACTCTGAGAGTGATGGCATGGTCACAGTGCCTAATCACTGGCAGAAAGTAGAGAGATGTTTTCTCTCCAGTAACTGATTTCTTCTGTACCAAACATAAATAACTGACAAATAACTGACACTACAAATTCATGTGCCACCTAAGTTGACTTTGAGCTATCAAACCATTGCAACAATAGGCAGTGCTTTTTAAATGTGAAAATTCTAGTTAAAAAGTGAAATAAACTTCTGTTTAGTAAATGAAAACTTGGTAAATGTGGTCTCAAGGGGAATGCATGTATAAATACTCAAACCAACTAAAAAAAAATCATGGTGCTCCATCTCCTTCCATCTTTACTCCATCTTCCCTTTCCTTCACACTTGTCCTCAGGCAAAGTTCCCCAAAATTAATAAAAAAAAGACTGGAGGAAAAACGCCAACAAAACATCACTCCAATAGCCCATCATGGATTATATGAGGTGTCTTCCCACACCCCAGGAAGCTGTGAGGCTAAGCTGCAATATGGAAAAGATTTGCTGCTACTGACACTTGTGAAGCCTTTTAGTCTGAAGCTGCTGCAGCCCAAGAGCCCTGTTTGATTATGAGTCTTGGCCACTGAATTTAATGGGGACTCAAGGATGCTACTGTGCATTGCACAAATTATTTAAAGGTTGTTCAAATCTGCAGCCAGCTTGTCACCTGGATAAATATATATATTTAAATAGATCTTCTTAACATTTTATACATTAAAAAGCATTATTTTGTATGTGTAAATTTTAAGCTCCTGATCTGGCATAATATTTTATGTCTCCAAATGACAAATTGTGCCAGTGTCAGATAGATGAAACAGCTGCTCCCACCCAAAGCAGTCTCATAAATATTTCATCACTCTCTCGGTTTGCAGAAGGCTGAGTGATGTGACAGTCCTGATTGGGAGCATTGCCATGCCGAGACCCACAACACATGCATGGCTTTGCCACCGTGGTTTTCTCTGGATGACCCTCCTTACCAGGTAGACTGGCAACAAACAAGACTATTTACTCCAGAACAGCCAGTGCACTGGCAGAACCGAAGCTGGTTGGACTGGGGGGGTTGCCCTGTGTGCTGGGGACAGGGCAGGCTCTGCTCCAAGCTGTCTCCCCTATACCACAGTGCCTGGCAAACACCACACAGGTGATGTGAGCGCATGCATAGAAATAAAGTCCGGTGCTCCCCAGATGCTGGATGCAGTTGCTTTATGATGTGCAAAGTCTGGGTTTACTGGATTTCTCACCAATACAAATCTTTGTCCCTATGCCCTTGACCACTTACAGCTCCTCAGATAGCTTGTCGGCATCGAAGCACCTTGAATGATAGCAGAAATTATACTTAACCACTTCATGTGCAAAACACGTCACTACCTTTACAGCAACAGCCCTGCCTTTTCATCATGCCCAGGCACACCATTAATTCTCTTTTGATTCCTGTTTCCATTTAGTTGTAACAATATTTGAATAATATCTTGAGACCTTTTTGAGGCACAGGATGGGAAATGGGGAAAGGAGGGTCAGTGAGTCCTGCAAGAGGGGAAAAGGACCCTGAGGGTATCAACTTTATGCCCTGGGATTCTCCCAATCAATATGAATTGTAATTAGGTTACTAGGTCACTGAATGCATTTTTCATTAATGGCTCATGCTTAATTTGAACTGCTTTTCCCTATAGGTATGGATTAATGCTTAAGGATCTCAAGAGAAGCACAGCATTAGAAAGAGGCAATATCTTTTATTAGGCCAACCAATATACTTAACAATGCAGAGATTTTTAGGAGTGTTAGCCTCTTCCCATGTCTCATTATTATTCATTGTTTTCAGCAGACATTTTTCAGCTTTATTTATTTATTTATTTTAAGCCACAGCTATTGATCTCTGGTTTAGTGGAGTTTTAGTGCGTCCTTACAATTCCTGATTAAAAGCTTCTATTATTTCCAGTGAAACTGGCAAGTTTTAATTTATATCTTTTATAAGAGTATAATGATATCAACATAAAATGAAACTCTATTTTACTATTCCCAATACGCTTATACATCTGTAATCTCTTCATCATCTCTGATCTTTCGGACTAATAGTTCAATAATTAAACTGAGGAGTATGGATGATAAAGGATATCTCTGTCCCACTGCTTTGCCTGGTGGTAGGTTTTCTAAAATTTTCTAGACAGATGTCAGATTTTTTTTTTTTTTAATAGATCATCTCGAGCCATTTTCTGAAGTGCTCCCTTTAAGTTCCCCTTCAATTTTCTGACCAGAAAAAGTCTTTCTGCTGACTTAGAAAGCTTTTCCTGCAAGTAGAAGGCTATATTATCAGCAATGGGCTCTTCAGCAGATCCTGCAGTGCAAACAGATGTGCAAACTGATCTGGAGAGAAACACGGCTGGTGCAGAGGTGCCCCTGTGCCCACACTACGCGTTTTTCAGATTGGCTCTAGTCCAGCCACATGAACATTGAAGAGCTGCTTTCTGATACCAGCATTAAATTGACTCTAAGTACATGTTCAGACAGTTTTGGAGAATATGGTAAAATCTCTCTGCTTAGGGTGCAAGGACCTCCAAACGTACCTCGTGCCTCGTTACACCTCTCATCTCCTGAGCCAGCCTCAGCACCACCCGCTCCATGCAGCATGTGCTCCATGTTTAACCCCAGCCAGCACTGAGGTACCATGAAATCATCTGTCATGTTGCAGAGGTGTGACTTCAGTAACCTGGGATTAAAAATTACTATCCCATGGTGCTAATTCTTTCATTTGGTGTTCAAAGGTCCTCCCATATTCCCATACTACTTATTAGCTACTATGAACACCTCTTTGTCACAGGAGTGGAGAACATGCATAGGTGAAATGAGCAGTCCTCTACACTTGAGTAAGCATCATGAAACATAAATATCACCAGTACTTCATTTTTAAAAAACAGTTTTGCATGTGATCGATTGGGCAGCCTTAGCATCCCAGAAGATCACATTATTGCCACGGCACCTTTATGGACATCCCATGTCCATTAATAATTTAACGTGAAAAGTAAAATATGCTTTACTTTTAAGAAATAGCTGTAAAAAATGCAATTCTCTGGAAATTGCAAGAACTCAGTAAGACAGACAGTTAAATAAATTCCTATTACAATTCAGTTGATGGAAAGGTCCTCCTTCCATTGCAATAGTCTGCCTTTGCGATTTTAGACACTACAAGAAACATCTTGTTCTCCTGATTCTTTTCATAACAAAGCACACAAGAGGACAGCAAAAGGAGAGACTGTGTGCCATGCCCAAGGACACAATGTTGAGTTAACTGACAAAATCCAGTGCCAAGTAGCCATGCTTCGAGTGTCAACTATGTGTTAGATAAGTAGGGGGTTTTTCACTACATAAACAAACAAACATCTCAGCTGCTTGAAGAGCACTTGGCAGGAGCACCAATCTAATGACAGAGGAAGTATTTTAAACTGCCGGTTATTCATGACAAGAGGCAGCTCTAGACTTTACAAGCCTGCTGTTGTAGCCAGTCACTGATCCAGAGAAGCGTTGTATCAATACTAAACCCATGGCCAGGGTGCAGCTCCAAGAGAGGCAGCTCTGCCAGCAAACCTGGCGTCAGACCTCCCCAGCTACTTATCCCCCACCTCTGCCACAACTCATCACCTCCTCCTCAGGTCTGTGACAAAGCTGCTTTGGGTCAGGGCTGCAAATCACATCACTGAGGTGAAATGCCTAAAAAGCAGTATTATTGTATTATTTTAACCCAGATCAGTTTATCAAGCCTCCTGAGAGCATGGTCCCACCAACAGAGGTATCTGCAACACCAGGGCACCAGCAAGCCCCGGGGGGGCTGGCTATTACTTTCCCTTGGTTAGCTACCAACGGCTGCAAGTCATCAAAACGCACATTTCTGAGGCTGGGACAGCAGCTCTCTTCTTTCAGACACATTAAGCAGAGGCAGCCCTACTGCCAGCAGTCCTGGTGGATTAGTGGTTCACTTTGCTTTTGGTGCCACTATGAGCACACAGGATGCCAAAAAATACTATAGATTTCAGGTTGTTTCTGTAAACATCTGAAAACACAAATGCTTTCAGCCATGCTGGGCAAGATACCATTGAGATCACCTCGCTGATACCATCATCAGTGCTCAGATTTAATTTATAGGTTTGACCATAAAGTTTGCAATATTGCCTGTTTCTGTATATACAGACAGTAGGTAATTATGGGAGATCAGCAGCTTGCACAGATGAAAAGGACTTGCAGAAGCATGCAGCTTTGGATCGGTCAGATGGATATATATGACTCTTCATTAGTAAGAAACAAGACAGACACTGCAGAAATTCAGTGAGCCCCAGTACCTTCGTCAGCTGCTGCTCGGAGGGAAAGCCCAAACCAAACACAGTATTTGCTCTGCTGTCCGCCCACTGGCCGAACTTCTGCGACGTTTTAGTGAAGGTCATGTTTGGTGTGATTGTGCTGTTTATGATCACCTGTTTAAAAACAGATCAGAAAAAAAATTAAAAGTAGAAGCCACATCGGAAATGCATATCCTAGCAACGATATCATCCAAAGCAATTAGCAATCTAAATTGGGAAATTGCTATATTCAGAAGACTTTCTCCCAAAACAAAACAGTTTCTATCTTGTCTTACTTCACGCAGTTAATTGTGATGTTTTGTCTTCTTTTTCCAAAGCACTATCACAGTCCTGCAGTTAAACATCGCTGCAGGAACGTCACTGAACTCAAAGCAATGGCAGGGACAGGAGCTATAAAACTACCCTGGCAGAAATGCAGATGCAAAAGTCTCTTTTTTCAGCGTCACAAAGGCACAGAGCTACTCCCACCGCCCTGCCAGGCACCCAGCATGGCCCCAGGCCTGCAAGCAGGGTGTCCACCAGCAACACCTGCCCTCAGACTGGAAGAGCAAATAAATATCTCTGCATTTCTCCATTTGGCTTCAAGCCTCCACAAGCACAATGCCAGAGACACATCAGAAATTAAAAAAAAAACCCAAAACAACAAAACAAAACAAAAAAGACAGGGAGAAACTGATAGCTTAATAGTGAGTTTAATTTAGGAGGGTGGTGAAGTGCATCACCAACAATGGACATGCAGTATTAAATGTGGGCCTTAGGACAAATATTCTGTCACTTTACAAAACTTAACTAATAATCTGCTTCACTACCAGCAACCTTGAAAGCAACAGTGGTTCCTGTAATTAAAGAAATAGCCAACATGAGGAAGGCTGCTGGGATGAGGTCTCTAAGGAACTCAGTGGAACAAGCATAAAATGTGATCTTGCAAAAACGAATTAGATATATGTCAGTTCATTATCAAAAATCTTAACTTTATTTTCAAGATACATCATTATATGAGTCTCTAGACTCCTTCCCGTGGAAATTAATTCATGTACAATGTTCTTTCTGCTAACAGAATAGGAGCTTTCTTTAGTAATGTGTACCATCATTTCCAATATGCAAATTATGCAGTAATTAAGCCAAATCTGTGGGACAGTTTAATTAACATGATCAGGAAGTATCCTGGCAACATCATTTACTATGTATTCCAAGCAGGTTTTTTTTTCCCCTAAGGTATCATTTACATTTAGCAAAAAGTGTGAATTAAATTTAGCAGAGAAAGATCTTTACTTGCCTCCGTCCCCTCCCTAACTTCTGACCTCTGTGCTGATGCTTTTATTTGCTTTCTTAGAAACTGCTCAACTTCAGTGGCTCCCCCTTTTTGCATCATCACTTTCAAGTAAACATACAATTTTCTGCCATTTCCTACCACTGAAAGTTTCACCAAGAGGATCAAACCTGAGGAAGGTCAGGTGGCTGTCACCTCTGAAATTGTTTTTTGCACAGAATAAACAGGGCAAGAAAGCAGGAGAGGTGACTGCAACCAGTGCTGGCCAACACACACCACAAAGACATCAGCTTGAGGGTCAAAACAACTTTTTGAACGGCCAGTTGACAGGCAGAGGTATAAGTAAAGCTGTCCAGATGCACTCTCCTCCCGCTAAGTCACACAACGGAAACGCAGCCAATAAAAAAGTCTAAGTGAGATTTCAGAGATTTAAACTAAAAGAAAATAAAAGATTTTATGTAGAGTTTTGACAATTCAAAGGGAGTATGACAATATGAGGATTGCATGATACAGAGAGTCACAAGAACAGGAGAAAAAGCTACCACCAACCCAGAAAAATCAGGATGCTTTCCAAAAACTTTAAGGAAAGTGCTATATGTATATTTCTTCTTTAAAGATCTTACATCAGACAGATGAACTACTTACAAATGTTTAGCTTCTCAAGTTACAGAGTTTATTTTAGAAGCTATGAAATACCCAGAAATTTCAAGTGATAAAAAGTATTACTTCAGTCATACTGTGCCTATCAAATTGGATATCTGTGGGGAAAAACTAATAAAATGACCCATTTTATTGAAAGGCTAAAGCTTCACTCTCTGGAAGCACACTCAGAGAAGAATAGAATTCTTCCATACCTCCTACAATAATCATTGAGTAAATACAAATATATTAAATAAACACACCAAAGATATCTTTTAGACCACAGTCCAATACTATCAAAGAGGTGATAAAGGAATAATGAAGCCTGCAAACTGTAAATCAAAAAACAACTTTCTAAGCGATGAAATCATTGTAATTAGCTTAGCACCTTAGAGGTTAATTTTTTCTGTAGCCAGTGCAGAATCCAAGAAAAGGTTGTGGTGATCACACACCTTCAAGAAACTGACAGTTCATCTGTTAAATTTATAATAAACTGCGATTAGTGAAACTGCCTGGAAGCCATCTCTACCTTTTTTTTTCCCCCCTTAAATCCCGCTCTGTCAGTCACACAGTTCAGAAACGCTGCATTCCTACAGAGAAGTGAAAATCTAAGTAGAAGCTTAGGAGATTAAATCAGAGCTCATAGAAACCACTCAGAAGAACTGGATGCTGCGGGCACATCACACTTATCCACCTGGTGTTCCTCCCCAGCCTCAGCCCATCGCCCCGCCCTGCTCACTGGAAGATGCCACAACACAAAACTTCCAGAGCATTAGCCTGTACATTCGCTTCCCATGCAAATCTGGTCACCTCTTCACAGCAGAGACACTACATTGGCCAGGGATCAATCACGTTAGTTGTGTTTAGGAGAAAGAAAGGGCGTTATGATTTCAAAGAATGATGGAAAGCAAGGCTTGCAAACACTTCTGCCAGGTAATCCAGCCTATCGCCCCTCCCAAAGCTGGCTCATCCTTGGCTACATGAGACCAGAAGGAAAATACTCCCCACCACTCCTCCATCTCCCAGGCAGAAGGTCTCCAGCTGGGGCAGAAGGCAGGGGAAGCATTTGTGGGTACCACAACATGAATGTTCAATGAAACCAGGAAAATTTTATTTTTTGATGAAAGGATGAGACAGAATTTTCAAGTTTCAAAGGAAGAAGGAGGTGAGAAGAAGCACGCAGAAGAAAAAGGACATATTTGAAAGGTGCTGTGGGCAGGATGAGCCTGCGGGCTCTTTTCCACCCCTAACTGCAATCCAGTATTATAATTCTATAGGAAAAGCCCACTCATCAATTCAAATGAGCTCTGACGAAATCACTTTGCATTTGGTTCTCATTCACATAATACACACACAGTGCAATTCCGTCTGCATCAGAAAACGGAATAAACTTGCAGACTTTCATCCAGGATAATCGATTCAACAGACAAACTAGTCTCTAATCAAATGCAATCAGTCCCTGAAGTGGTTAAAGAGTTCTCCCTAAAGACAAAGGCAAAACGGAGCATAATATAATAAGCACCTTACAGAATAATAAACTAATTCATCACACTGACTGTCTACATGTGGTTAAAAAAATAAAATTCTGCCTTTGCTCTCATCTACATGCAAGCGTATCAGATGGAGAACATTCCTGATACATCCACATACGCCAAACAAAATCTCACACTAATTTCACTTCCTTTGGGAGAAAAACAATCCTGACAGATCTAAATTTTTATTTAAAGATAACACAGAAGAACGTTCACAGTACAAGACAGCGCTGTATCAACCAGAAACGACTCCAGACATCTAGAGACACACCAGGTATATTCATCAGATAAGAGTGAACGCAAATAAGCTGGTGCAGAGCAAACATTCATGGGCTGTAACACACCCATCCCACTGCCTTCCCACGGAAAAAGTGCCAAATCAAACAGGGAGAGGTCACAACATGACCTGAGTGCGTAGAAGTAAAAAAAACCATACTGGCATCTCAGGTCACTTGTAACATACAAGCACTGCCCATATATACAGCTGCCACTTATTTTAGGAGATGATTCGAGTGTTTAAAGTGTTCCCCTCCCAAAACTCCCTGTACCACAACACTACACTAAATGGGAAAAGCCAATGTGGCTCCAGAAAATCCATCTTCCCAAGTCACCATTTCAGTAACCTAAGGTGAGCGTGCGTGAGGGCTGGCTGGAGCACAGAGGGAGCAGAGCTGGAGCAGCACATGGGGGTTTGCCAGCGTGGCTCACATCGTACGCTCTGGCTGCATCAGCCCTGGCTTGCCTTTTTTGCAAGAAGGAAAAGCAGAGAAGAGAGTAAGCTCAGCTCCAAGGGGAGGAGAGCAGCAATCGTAGTGGGCACTTGGCAGAGCCACTGGCAGAGCCCAAGGAGGGGGCCAATGCACCAGCAGGAACTGGCCAGGATGTGTACTCTGAGGACACCCACCAAAGGGGATGATGCAGCCAGCCCTGTCAAAGCTTCTCTACCTGGGAAAAGACTGAAATAACAGCTATGAGACAATGTATTTTGGAATTGCATTAAATGAAATCAGAAAAGGGCCCCTTTTTCTGGGACAAGCCTGTCAGATTAGGAATTATTCTGGAATTTTCCCTTTAAATTCACACCACCTGTTACTCTGAAGCAACTTTACCTCCAGAAAAGCCCCAAGGCTCAAGGCCATAGGATGTACTCATTAAGAAGTCACTACATTAAAACCTCCCCATTTCTTTTTCACACCTCTGAATATGTGCTTTCCAGTTTGAAGTCCTTGTGAAATTTAATTTCCTCAACCCACCAGGCTGCTAATCTTCAGTAAAGATGTATCCCAGTCTTAAAACAGAATTGACGAGGGAAAGAAGCTGCTAATCCTCTGGGCACAGCTATCACAGGCTCAGCAGGTTCTTCCAGCTCATCAATTCAATGTGGATCAGAAGAGCTTGTGACACTGGATGTCTCCTGGAGATGAGGAGACTGGGATGGCTTTGCAGAGAAATTCTCCCTCTATCCCAAATGTTCAGCAGCTCCCTCATGGAATCAGCCCACCTATGTTTCCATGATTTGCACTATCTCTGCTGACAGCTTCTAGGCTTACATGCAACATCTTTTCTCCAATATGTCACTGGTGCTAAACTGATCATCTAATTTCTAGTCCTACACATACATGTTGTTAATCAAGACAGTGCTATTAAAGGGAAAAAGAGAGTCCTTTGTTGAG